GAAAGAAATATAGCATTTCAAATAAATTAATTAAGGTAAATCCTCTTCTCTTTCCCTTGTCGCCAAAAAATAATATTTATACTATTGTTCAGAGAAGAAAAAAAAAGCAGTATCTATAGACTATCAAAACAACATTTTACATTTTAAGAGATATTGTCTGCTAAAAATTAAGATAAATAAATTTTTCTTGACTTCTGCTTACATATGCCTCGGTTATTTGTTTGTTCGTTTGTTTGTATTTTTTCTTGTTAAAAACCATAATTCTTCGAGAATCAGATTAACAGAGCTTAGAAGAAACAGAGTTGATGTTTGACGACATTAAAGATGACCAACGCACCACGGGGTATCATCATCACCATCATTATCATCATCATCATCGTCTCAATCCACTCATTCGTATCCCATCTATCCGTCCGTCCGTTTGTCCATTTTAAAATTATTGTTGTTGAGAAGAACACAGGCAACTGAAGCAACCCTTCGGACAACCAACTGCTGTTGTTTTGCTGTTGTTTTTGTTGTTGTTACTACTGCTGCTGTTGCTGTTGCTGTTGCTGTTGCTGCTGCTGCCTTGGGTGATTCTCAGATTTCCAAAAATCCATTAAGGACATTAGTAGTTCACATATATTTTTAGGGCTTTGGTCATGTTTGTATGCGATTTAGCTGAAGAGCATCAGTATTACACGAAATTTTTTGGTTTGTTGTTAGACCTCATGCTGAAACTGATACCACTGTCACCGTCACCACCACCACCACCATAGTCATCATCATCATCATCATCGTCATCATCATCATCATCATCATCATCATCATCACCATCATCGTCTTCTTCTTCTTCTTCTTCGTCATCGTCGTTGCCGTCGTCATCATCATCATAATAATCATCATCCTCATCCTCCTCATCATCATCTTTATTGCCACTATCCCAACCACCACCACCTATGTACACTTCAAAAGTGACCATTTTCTGAGCAGTAAACAAACAAATAAAAAAGAAAAAAATGCTTTTTCCCTTTTAACCTTCCTTCTCCGCGCAAAAAAAAAAAACCAAAAAAAATAACCGAAAGAATTGAAAAAAACTGAAAAAATTTCTGCAGTATAGTTTAAGTATCACTTTTCATCGGTAACCAAAGTAAACTTAAAGAACCAAAAAAAAAGCTGGAGAAAAAAAAATGCAAGAAAAAATTTTTTTAAAAGAACAAACCAAACAGTAGTAATGATAACAGACATTGAGGTTTTATGAGATCAGAGCAATAAAGGTGACAATCAATCAATCACCTAAAGTTTATCTTACAGCAATAAAACAAAAGAAAAAAAAAAAAACAAGTGCAACTTTGGTGATTATAAATTTGTATAGAAATCTTAAATTATTATACAAGAAAAAAAAAAAACTACTTTCTATATTACCATTGTTGAGATTATAAAATAACACCAATTTTTTTTTTTGACCCTAATAAAGTGCTACTTTGTTTTGTTGTTGACGTGTTTTTTTTTTGTCTTGTTATTTTTTCCTCTCCTCAATATCATCTGTTTGTTTGTTGTTGGAACACTTTTTGTAATGTGAATCCATATATCTTTTCAGGCAAACAGTTGCCAAAAACAATGAACTTCGATAGCCAACCGTAACAAAAATCTGAAATGTTCAACCAAATATTGCAAAAAATATAAATCACCGAACAGACAAAAACATAACACAAATGTTTTTCAACAGTTAAATTTCCAAAACAAATCAGGATTCAATGGCATCATCCTCAAACCTTCAAATCCAACAAAAGAAGAACCTTTATTTTTCACTTTGTTATCCCTTAACCTTTTTTCACTATTCCAACTTTCGTTTGTTGTTGCTGTTTTTTTTTTTTTTTT